CGCAGAGCCGCGCCTCGGGCGAGGCCATACCGGAGTAACGGCGCTTGGCGTGCGCGCATGCCGCGCAAGGTCTGATGCCATTTTTGTTACATAGATCCGATCGGCACAACGTTTTTCTCTTCTTCATGACCGACGGTGTTGACGAAATCACAGACTTCGTCCTTCAGCAGGATCTGGGCGGGGAACATGACTGCTTTGATTTTGATTTTTTTTATTAAAACTAAACTAGTTCTCTCGCTCATGTGCATTTTGCATGTGCGAGTTTTCATGTTGGACATGTTTCCTGGGAAATGCATCTGACGGGCGAGCAAAGGCTATGATCGAGCGCAGGGCTAAGGGGAGGGGGTTTCAAGAGATGATGACTGGGCGAGATTTGGCAGCGTTTCCTTCGGTCCTCCCTGTGTCCCTGGGGGGGTAGTAGTCGTCAAGGTAGAGGAGGTTGTGGCGGTTCGCCCCGACGTCAGATGCGCATGGCTTGACGATCCGTCATGTAGACATACATGTACCGAGTTCCGTTCTGTATACTCGTTAGGTATGAATGATATCGACGCTGTTACGAGACTTTATCAATCCGACCCACTATGCGCTGGCGATGATACTGTGCGTATTGTCACATGTGAAGAAGCGTGCGAGGAACTCTCAGATTGGTCAACTGCCAAGGTGGCAAGCATCTCCATTTCCTCCCTGACCCTAATGCGCGGTCGTCTATCCTTCTACCTTGTCCCTAGATACACGGGAAAGCCACCACCGACATCAAACACCGGACATCCGGATCTCCTCTGCGACCCCGGCTCAGGAATAGCAAGCAGCCACGTGGGCCCTCCAATCGCCCCGCCTCTTTCAAGCTGGGTTTTTTTTTGTCGTAAAAAGTCGTTAAAATTACAGTTTGACCTAGTTGCCCTTTTTGTCCGTCTATGGATCGCGAAACGCAAGTATGAAAAAGGGGAAAGAAAATCCTCGTCAGAGGCGCTTGTGTATAAGTCAGAAAGATAGGCCATGCCTACCCAGTAACAACAGGTCAAGAATCTTGTAGCGTCAACAGCGGCGCCTGTCATTGTGGCTTGCCAATGAAAAAGAAAAACGAAACGTCGGAAGAGAAACCTTGGGGAGGAACTCCGAGACAACGAAACGCTGCAAACGTTTCTTGCCTCTGGGGTTGTTACTGGTCAGATGAGACCCGCTAAACGCCTGCTTTTGCAATGGGTATGCCGTGCTATGCAACGCTCAATATACAGAAACAGTATGAGTAGGATGACAAATGAAATGGGTTGAAGAGCTACTCGGTCGATGAGCGCTCAGGCTGGGAGATCCCCGTCAACTGGTAGCGTCGAGTTGAAAGAAGGATCGTTGGCCGAGTTTGGCTTGACGGTAGCTCGACCGGAAATCGGCGCGCTCCTCACACGTTGGCTTAGGGGAAGGCTATAGCGAACAACGCCCTTGATCACAAGATCAAACTCGTCTTGGATAATGCGGCTCCAGCGTTCGGAGCCGCCTGCGGAATGGTTGCCGGGTAGGCTGAGCCGCATTTCGCCAGTGGAGGAAGACATGCCTTTGTTGAAGAACGAGCCCTCAAATGACAGAGGGCTATCGAACTCGGTAATCGTACCGAGGCGCATGTTTGGTGCGTCGTCAGGCAGGTCATCAGGGGGGTCGTCTTTGACGTGAATGTCAGAGTCGGTTCCATCCCCCATTTCAGGGCCATGAGGCCACTTCCACCAGTCGCTGTCAGAGCCTGCGTGGGGCGACTTGGCAAAGACCTCGATGTTTGCTTGGTCGACCGACACGACGACAATGTTTGGGTTATGTGCTTTGACCGTCAAGTCAAACATCAGCTCTGGGTCGCTAGCCACCACATTTTTAATGGATACGAGCTCAATGTCCATCAAGGGCTGTGACGTTGCGAACATGAAGCCAATAGCGCCGGTGATGACAAGCAAAAGCATCATGGTGATGACCAGGCACGCAGCAAAACGGTTCAGATACGAAGGCTGCTGTCGATACGATTGCGATTCGAGGTGTCGTAAACTGGCAGGGGTGCGTCGGCTTCGACCTCGCGCGGAGCGCATCGACGGCGACAAGAGTGGTGTCCTCTCATCATCGGCACCTGTAGTAGGATCGTCCAAGTCATACGATGGCCCCGAGACCAAGGTTCTCTTCCCGTTACCGGAAGGACCTCGCGAATGGTTGAGGAATCGAGGGCTCGGCGGACCCGATGATTGCCGAGACTGGACCCCGGAGAACTTGGACCGCGCTGCGTTCGGGAAGGGCGAGTCGTTGTCGAACAACGAGGTGTGCGTATTGCCTGGGTTTCGACCCCATCGACCAATGTGTGTGAGGTTGTGGTGGTGATGTCGTGCAGTCCCTCGGCCTGAGCCCGGGCCGGCGCTTCGTCCGCTACCCTTGCCATCATCTTCGCCCGCGGTCAGGTTCTCGCCGCCGCTACCGGCAAAGGAATTGACGAATTTCATGCCCTTCTTCATGATGACAGGGGGCGGGCCACCACCGTTCTCCAAAATGGAATGAATCGAGCGCATGGCGTTCCGGTCAGCCTGGCTGGCCATCGACGTGGCGCTCGGTGTGCGAGAGTGATAGCGGCGAGGCCTGTCGCCGGCATCTGGAGGATTAGAATCATAGACAAAGGTCTCTTCAGAGTCTGACGAGTCTGCCTCGTCAACCGCGCTGGCCACCTTGGCTTCAAAAATGTCGGCCTTGGAGGATCCTGAACGAGATTTAGTCAGTAGGGTGCTCATGTGGTACAGTCCCGCGCTGGGTGCTCGCGAGTTGGACGCAGTGGAATGTCGCGAACTGTGCTTGCCCTCGCCCCGCAGGCCTCGATCACGGCTGCTTGTGGGGGTCAGGACAGCGCCATACGACGCCGGCACTGTTGACGTCGCGTAATGGTGGCAGTGTCTGGGATAGGAATTCGGTAGAAGATGTTGTGTCTCACCAATGGCTGTGGTCACGGCCGGTTGCTTGCGGCTGACCTTCTTCTTGTCCTTCTTGGGCTTGATGGTTTCCGTGCTGGCCTTCGCCTTGAGAGTACCGCTGCTGCTCTCCATCTTTGAGGTCGGGGCCAGTGCCACCTGGGGGATCGATGACACTGTCTCGGTCTCCACGGTCATGGATTGACCCGAACCCTCACCGGCGACCTTTGTCTTTGACTGCTTGGCTGACATGGAAACAGTGCTAGGTTGGCGTGCGAGCGACGGAGGAGGGGCAGAGCTCTGGGACCGCCTGGAATCAGCCCGAATGGTACCATGGTCGTTGGCAATCTCCGAAACAGGTACAGCCGATCGGGCAGCCCTGATGGTAGGGTATTCGACGGTGCCCTCGCCCGACAGCTTTTCGTTGACCTGTTCCAAGGCGGCATTGATATAACCAGGCGAGTTCGGCTGGCTCACTTCCTGGACGGTTTCTAGCGTCGAGCTGTTGTTGCCCATGGCGGGAGTTCGTAACCCAGACTGCGAATCGTCTGTATCACTGTCTGGCATGTTCGACGCACCATCCATCGCCGAGGCCGGAGGTTGAGGGGAAGGGGTTGCACGCTGAACGCTGATTCTAGGAGGATCGGTGTCGATGCGGCGTGTTGTAGAGACGCTGGGTCTGTGGAGCTGCGGGGGAGGTGAGCGCAGCCGGGGGGAGACTGGCCAGCGAGGGCTGTCTCGTGGATATGACTGTTCTGTGATGATTGACGTCTTCTGTGGACCCGCAGATCTCGCGGTTAGGTCTGACGATACCGGTAACAGGGTTGGCGTTGTCGCGGCAGAGATTGTGTTGGAGCCGGGTGGTAGAATGGATTTGACGGATCGTGGGGTGCGAGCCGGACTTGTTTCTTGTTGGCTGTTTCTCCTGGACCTGGACACTGCTGTCGCCGAAGCTGAACGTGCCGCCGACGTGGACGCCTTGATGCGCGAGCGGGTGGGGGAGACGTCCCGCGAAGCCACGGGCGATTGGCTCAAGGAAGTACTGGCGGAGGATTGTTTTGATGGTTGGCTGTCTTCGCCTCCAGCGGCGGAGGAGAAGGACAGTTGGGAGGTTTCGGGCAGCATATTGCGTGGAGGGCCGGCAGTCAAGCTGCCGGTGGACGAGTTGGCTGACCTATCCATGGAGGGAAGGCTTGATGCAGACGAAAGAGACAACGCAGGATCGGACCCTTGATTGCATGCCAGGAGAGTGGGATGGGGAGTTCAACTAGATCGATGGTGATTGGAGGTAGGAGGGGTGTCTATCATCGCGATGGGATGACACGTCGCGGAGGAGGAGGGTTGCCCTTGAGGAGGGTAGCCCTTCGAGAGGGGCCTTTGGCGCGCAGGTTACGCTCGTCGAGTGTTTGTGTTTGTGTGTTTGTCTGCTGGGGGTTGTAGATGCCAGGATTGGAGACTGAAGTTTCAGTGAAGGTGACAGACAGTCGTAAGTAGCGGCTGAGGTAGAAGGGAAAAGACGGCGTGCGTGATAGTTGGGGGTTTGCGGTAAGTGGCGTGGAGGCCGGTCCAAGGTCAGGTGTCGTGGTGGGCGGCGTCGTGGTTCGGAGGGGGATGATGGTGAGGATGGAATGACACAATCGAGCGCCGACGTGAGGTTATGGATTGACGGACGTGGTAAGCCGGGTCAGTCGGGCTGGCTGCTGCTGTTGCTGTGGGCACAGAAGGGGGGGGGCCTAGGCGTGGACTGCAGGGCAACAGGCTGTCGTCTACCCAACCGGGGATGGTCTAGGTGCGATGGGGGGGCGTTGGGAGAAAAAAGAGCGGTGCACAGGAGGAGAACTGTGGGCAGCGCCGAGTGGGTTGAGAGAGAGGTTCGATCGATGGTGGATGATGTCGTTGGGGTCAGATGGGAAAAAGCTGGCCTAATAGGGAGGTACATGTAAGGTAGAGAGAGGTAAGGTAGGTAAGGTAGGTAAGGTAGGTACAAGTTCAGGACAGTGGGCGGGCACTATCAGTGAGGGCAGGTGGTAGTCAGGATAGTCAGGATAGGCAAGACAGGGCGGCGGGCTTCCTGGGCCCTGAGGGATGGGACAGAACGTGTCAAAGGTCAATCGGAATCGGGGGGTGGAAGGTCTAGCCTGTGCCTAGGTTCCCGGTAGGTCGTCATTGCCTTCCTTAGTGCGAGGGCAAGGTGGGAAAGTGGGCCGGAGGTGCGACACCTTACATGTACGCCTTCCCTCCTCAACAGCAGCAGCAGGGACGAGCCCGCCAAGGGACGGGCGGTCGGGGGCTCTCCAGAGGGATGTACCAGTGGAGGTACTCGCGTACCCGTTCTCTGGTCGCTCGAGGTAGCTCCTCCGGTATTTACCGCAGAAGAGGTACATGCCTCACACATGCAGCTACTTTTCGGCTGGCAGGTCCCCGCAGCGGACACACTTCTCCGCTGTGTTTCGCCTTGCACACTACCTGTACCTGAGAAGGACGCAGGACGCCGGAAGGGGGGGGAAGGGGGGTGGCAGGGGCGGGGGGCCTGGACGTACTTGGTATTCCAAGAAAGAACTCCTCGAAGCCAAGGGTGCTGCTGACCGTCCGTCTGTCATTCAAGCCATTTCCCATTGATGCTGTAGGTTTGATGATGATTTTGCATTTCTTCTTTTGCCGTCGCCCCATCATGTCACGAGAGAGCCTGAAAGAACCCCTGCGATGGGGGATGGAAGTGCACGTGACGACATTTTTCATGTTCCACAGGCTTTCCGTCTGCTTCCACCAGAAAGTTCTAGTAAAAGTGAAGGAGAGAAAGAAAAAAAAAGCTTGCCCCTCGGGCCTCACTCACCATCCTCGGCCTCGGGTCAGGCGCCCCTTTGCAACGACCCTTGCCCCTTGACGCCCCGTTGTCCGTCCGTCGTGTTCCTCTCTCCTGGCCGCTCGGAAGAATCCCGCCAAAGAATGCGGAGTCGTTCAATAGAGCCGGCACCCCAGAAGTGTATCGAAGGCAGCAAGGGTGGTGCGAACGTGTGCATGTACCGGGTACTGTGGTCGTCGACAACGATACTGCACAGATACATGACCTGCACGTGTATTGATGCAGCCCTCGGCGGTCACTCTGCTGTAGCCAGACGTGGCAGCAAAAGTACCCCTTCAGCCTTCACCGTCGCCTGTCTCCCTTTTTTCCCTCTTCCCTCTCTCCCCCCCCAAAGCCCCCCGTCCCCTTCTCCTCGCAGGCTTGCCTCGTCTACTCCACCCTCAGTGCCAGCCCGCCAGGCCTGCCTGTCTGTACGGCTGCCAGACTCCGCCGGGGACGCGCATTCATTCACACTTGGTGCCCTGTCTGTCCTGTCGGGGGCACACCTGGTGCCCCGTCGGGAGGGCATGAACCCGGTACCTGATTGTTGCGCGACTCAAGAAGAGACCAGTCTCCGCCTGGCAAGGTTCGCCATATGCCATCTACTAAGTGCCAGCGACGCGGTATGGACCCCTGGGCGAACAGCGAACCCCATCTTCACCCGTCCCAGCCGTCGTGTGCTGTCCGCCCACATCACCGCTAGTTTGCCGACCAGTGCATCCACGCCAGTGCATCCAGTGCATCCACGCCAGTGCATCCACGATCGGTTGTCTTGTCATCCAGGTCTTCCAGGCACTGAACGAATGATCATTGTGTCAGTAGTCGGGACCCAGACCAAAGTTGTGTGCGGGCGGATGCCAACCCCCATGCTTCTGCATACTCGAACACAGGTCACAAAGAAGGACATGTGGTCTGGCGATGGCCTACCAAACGGCACTGAGGTGACATTGAAGACATTTCTTGCTGACTTGCATGTCCCCTCTCCCCCACCGAAGAGCAACTTGCGAGGCCAGGCAGCGAGGCAAGGAGAAGGTTCTTTTTTGGAACAGCAGGCGGTGGGCAACGCAAGTGAACTCTTCAGCCTTCAGCCCGTCATGTCCGGTCGGCCCATGCTCAAGGCTCCGACCAGCGAGACAGAAGAGACTGGCTGCTGCTGCTGCTGCTGCTGCTGCTGCTGCTGCCACTGGCTTTCTCGCACATTGTCAAACGGCAGGGTCCTCGTCCGTGGAGAGAGACCTGAGACCCGACGTCACCGCCGCGCTGGCTGATTAAACATGATATAACGACCATCTCGCTTCGGCCGCACACTGGCATGGCACAGTACGGGCAGAACAGGTGGGCCGGGGACGAGCGGTGATAGCTGGGTGGTCATGCTGTGCGACAGGTTCGCCGAGCGGCCCTGTTCGCCCTCATGCCAAATTGGCACTTGCAGCTCATCTTCGGGTGACTGACTGACTGACCTGTGATCATGGCACTCACCAGACACAGACAAGGGCCCCCCGGAGAGTGAACCACGATTATTCGGCGTCCTGTCCCTTGTGTCAGTCACCCAAGCATCTGGGCCGAGGGACCCAACATGTGGCGCAGCGCCTCCCACACATTGCCGCTCGACGTTGACGAACGCCAGGCGACCACGTCGCCCGCGCCTCTCATCCCAAAGCCTCACCGATCACCATGGACTGGAACACCCAACGCACATGGCATCCTGACCGCCCCCCGGACCTTCCATGCTTGTAGCCCTCCTCTGCTTGCTCTCTGTGACGAACCTGCTGCTGCTGCCGCCGTCCCTTGTGACGTCCGATTCTGCCAGTCTTGCTGCCAGTCTTGCTGCCAGTCTTGCTGCCAGTCTTGCTGCCAGTCTTGCTGCCAGTCTTGCTGCCAGTCTTGCTGCCAGTCTTGCTGCCATTCCCCAGACTGTCACCACCACCCACTCGGCCAAGGCCATCCTGCCAACTGGCCAGCGAGCCCACCACCACCACCACCCCCGTCGGCTCATCCCATAGTGTTCCGGCCTTGCGCACGCGCGCTCGCGCTCCCGAAGCGGGCCCTTCCTTGATCATCTGCGCAGGAACCCGGCGTTGATTAGTGCTCATCCTGGGGGCACCAGCATTGATGCCTGCGCAGCAGAGGGACGTGGCCGTGCCGTTGGACAGCCGCAGGCGGGTGGCTCTGGTGCTGTGCTGGCGCGACTTGTTGATGGTGCTCATCGGTGGTGAGCACTTTTTTTAGGGGCTTCACCAATCACCCCAACCGTCCCTCATCTTCTCTTTCTCTGTCTCTCTGGTGGGGGTGCTCCCTGACCACCGACCGCACAACAGGGGGAAAGAGGACATGGCTGCCCGAGACCTTTTTTTCCGCACCCGTGGGGGCTGCTCGTCAAGGAAGAAGCAAGATGAGCGAGGGGTCCTTCCTCGTCCCAGCTTTGGGGGTCCATGTTCATTTGCGAGGGAATGAGAGGGACGGCAGCCTCAGCTTGTGATGTGTGCTTCGCTCGTTGGCTCGTTGGGTTGGTTTTTCATCGAACCATGACCAGGGTCAGGATAATGACGATAACGCGTCATCAAGTCATGCTGGGGGAATCTATTGTGCCTCGAGGGCCGTTCCTCGACGGAAAAGGGGCAAGAAAACCCCGTGGGCCAATCGAACCTACTATTCAGAGGTATCTCTCTCTCTCTCTCTCTCTTTCTCTCTTTCTCTCTCTCTCCCTCTCTCTCCCTTTTTTTTCTCTCAAGTACCAGAACGCCCAAACACCCCTGCCCAAGGAAAATAGCAACTGTGACCTCTCCGCCTGCCCATGCTCCAGTCGTGTTGTTTCTTCTTCTCGCGTGTAGTACGGCGTAGAATGCTCATGCAAAGTGAATGCCCTCCGAGTTGAGCGCGTGCAGGAGCTTCAAAAAGTCCGTCTCGTCGCACTGCCGCGCGCGCTTCTCCAGCAGCTCCGTCTTGTCGAGCGCGCTCTCAATCTTGTGGCGGACGAGGGCCGCGACCTTTGTCTTCTTGCGCTTGCTCTTCGTCTTCTCCGCCTCGGCCGGCTTGAGGGCGGCGAAGAAGTCGGTCGCGCCGTCGTCGTCCTGCTCCTGCTCGGGGGCCTCGTCGTCGAGGTCCATCTCCTCGTCGGCCGCGTCGTCCCCCGCCTCCTCCCCCTCCTCCTCCACCAGCGAGTCGTCGAGGGGCACGTTGTTCATGGCGGCCCAGACGCGGTAGTTCTGGCGATCACGTTAGCGTTGGGAACGTTGTCGCGTGGGGCGCCGCGCGCGCCCGAGGCCCGACGTACCTTTTCCAGCATGGAGAGCACCTCCTTCGTCCCTAGCCAGCTCGCGCGCATGGTCCTGTTCTTGCGGTTGAAGCACTGGAATGGCCCAGTCAGTTCGTGTCTTCGTACAGGCGAGACGGGTACAGGCGAGACGACAGGGTTGTGCTTACGATCCGGAGCAGGCCGTCAAACTCCTCAAAGGCAATGCTGGGACGCTCGCTGCCCTGCTTCGGCACGATGCGGACGACGCACGAGTCGACTTGAGGGGGGGGCCTGAAGTTCGCCTTGGACACTTTCATCTGCGCCAGTTAGCATGCAGGGTCGGCAAAGGGCTTGTCCATGCGAGAGGAGGACGTACGACATTGGAGCACGTCGCCCAAAAGTTGGCATTGACACTCAATCTGCGTGACTTGGTGAGCTTTGGTGCTTGTGTGAACGGCGTGTGGTGGGTGCTCACCGGCCGTAGAGCTTGTCGCCCGGCTTGGCCACCAGCCGCTGTCCGAACTCGAGCTGGAACATGAGAATGGCCTGCCTTGGCGGCTTGGGCATGGCCAGCATCTTGAAGACCAAGGGCGAAGAGATCTGGTATGGTGTGTTGGAGATGAGCACGTCAAAGGGCACCCAGTCGACCTGGCGGATCGAGCGTCAGTGAATCTGCCCATCGTATCTTGGCCTTGCGCCATGCAGGGGAGGGGCTCCCAGCAGAGACGGAGCAAGAGACTGACCTTGATCGCATCGCCCAGCATGACCTCCAACTTTCGCTGCTCCGGTGTGCCTTGTACACGCTGCACGCAGAGTCAGCGCCGCCCATACTTGTCCCATCGTGCCCAGCTACGGGTAGGGCACCGACCTTTGTCACTTCGGCCGCCATCCTCGGGTCGAACTCGATGGCGATCAACTTTTTCGCATTCTCCAATATCCTGACCGTCAGGTTACCGGTACCGGGTCCGATTTCGAGGACCGTGTCTGTAGGCTTGAGGTCGGCTTTCTGTAGTTCGTCCGGCATCGTCAGCCCAGTGTCCCGCGAGAAGCAGAGAGAAGTCGAGGATACGTACGGCGACGATGGCGTCTGCGACACCGGGGTTCTTGAGGATATGTTGACCGACGTTCGTCTGGGAGAGAGAGAGAGGGAGGAGAGTCAGCGCGGTTCGAGCGGTTCGAGCGGTCCGTGAGTGGAGGTGGTAGTACGTTAAACTTGAAGACATTGTTCGACTTTTGCGGTTTGGCGTACGGCGAGGAGCCTGCCGCGCTGCTGTTGCGCTTGCCGCCCTGTGCCTTTCCCATGGTGACAGGGTTGGATGTTCTTGGATGTTCAGTGCCAGTGCCTGATTTCGGAGCGCTTTCGACGGTCTCCTGGTGAGGGGTCAAGAATCGCAAGCAAGCCGGGGAGGTCTTGTAGTCGGTGTCGGTCGCGATGCTGGAATCTCGCCGTCGAAATAATTTGTCGGTGATGGCGGGGCAGTTCTGCAGCCGTTCAAGAATAAAAGTGGAGAGCGAGCGAGCGAGGAAAGCGTGCAGGGATCCGCCACCTACAACTTTAGTGCACCTTCAGCCTTGCGCCAAAAGCTCCCTCTGCAGACAGACAGACAGCCCTCCCAAGGCAGTGACTCTCGAGCGAGAGAGATCATCCCTCATCCTCTCCCACCCCAACAACGCCCTGTATTCGAGTAGGAGTTGCAAGAGAAAAAAAAAAAAAAAAACTCTTTCTTTCCTGAATCTTTCTTTTCTGAATCTTTCTTTCCTGAATCTTTCTTTCCTGAATCTTTCTTCCTGAACAACCTCTCCAAAGCCGGCACCATGGCCAGTCGGCGCGACTTCCTCAGCCAACCGGCGCCCGAGAACTACATTGCTGGCATCGGCCGTGGCGCGACAGGCTTCACGACACGATCCGATCTGGGCCCGGCACGCGAGGGACCCAGCGAGGACCAGATCAAGGAGGCCGTGGCCAAGCGTGCGGCGCAGCTCGGCATCGGCGGCGACGGCAAAAAGGGCGACGACAAGGACGACGACAAGGGCGGCGACGACGACCGGTTCAAGGACCCCGACAACGAGGTCGGCCTCTTCGCCGGCGGGCTCTACGACAAGGACGACGAGGAGGCCGACAGGATATGGCAGGAGGTCGACGACAGATGGGCAGGCGGCGGCAGAAGCAGCGGGGGCGCGCGAGCTGTCCAAGAAGAGTACGAGCGCAACAACCCGAAATCTCCAGCAGTTGCGACCGGACCTCGGCGCGGCCCTGGGCCTATCACGGACGACGAGGGTGCGAGCCTGCCCGAG